AGCCCCCATCGATCGAGGCTATTGTGAGTCGAGCCTTATAGTAGGTGTGTCAATCAGTAGCGAAGTAATGGATGGTTTTAAATTGTCATGATGAAAAAGGGCCCGTCGTTTCGCGTGCGTCTAATGATGGAATCCGAAGATGAAAACCTCGATTCGAAGATTATGGGATCGTCACGAAAGAGGTGCGGTCCAATGCCGCGTAAGTTGGCAGCCCTGCTCTAACATCGCGTGATACCAACGTCGAAAATATGCGGGGAACCACCGGCGATGTTTCACCGGGAGAAAGATGGGCGAAAGGGTGTCCTTTTGAATGTAAATCGGGCCGGCATATAACTGCTCTAGATATTGGGGGCGTATGAATGAATTTCGCAATATCTCTTCGACGTTATTGCTTATCGTTGAGCCAAACCTTTGCGCGTTACGCGATGCGTGTGGATCGACGTTGACACAAGGGGAGGGAAATTTAAAAAAATTAACAATCAATACCTGCGAAGAGATTATGATGATAGAGACTACGACAATTAAACTACTGAATTTTGTAAAAATAAATATTAATCGTCAAAAAAAAAATCATTGATCATTCAAGATATGTGCATACAAAAATTAATCGTTGCGACAAAAGACACGCGGCAATAACGATAAATCTAAACTACCTTAAAGCATTCAGACATATACTACAGCTATAAAACCTACCCATTTCCCTTACTACCCCGTAGAACAAGATTCGTAAAATTATTCGAAAATAACTTCACCGCAGGAAATTAAAGCCCACTCGACTTGTAGATCGAACCTACGCAAGGCTCCTTCAACCACGACGTAGTACCATCTTTGACCAATCGCGAAATCAACGTTCGGAAGCGTGCATAACCGAGCAAACCCCCGGCCGCCAATTTGAATAACAAAGCCGAGGCAAAGAGAGGCGGCCGTTCCGCGAGATTAACCATGAATATTTAACCCCGGTTTGAAAGTAAATGAAAAAGATCTTAAACCGCCCCGCTCGGTTCGTGCACCGTGCACGGGGGATACAGACATCAATGGACGCGAAACCGTCAATAATCGGCATCCATCGGTGCAATCTTGATGGCAATTAAGGCCGCATCACGGTGCATCATTAAATCATAAACCTTCGTCGGCCAGTTTATCCGCGAGGATTTCGCTCTCCCACGCGCCAAACGGCCGTTAATTTGCCACTGAATAAAATCGAGGAAAGAGAGAGAAAGAGAAGAGAGAGTCCCTCCGGGCTGTCCAGACCTTCGCTCTCCAACTATCTGACGTCTGCACAAGCGGCGAACAACTGATCCTAACTGCCCACCACGGCCTTCCATTAATGCCCACCGAGTTGGCCAATTACGATCGGTAATTTCACATTTTCTCTACGTATAATCGATGGTGGTCGATGTGTCTCGCTCGGTTGGCTGCCTTGCTCGAGATCATCGGGCAAAATGAACAGTAAAGAGAATTGGAATGATTTAAGATACACGTATTTTGAACCACGGTGTAAGAAGTGATTGATCTTGCTGCTATTTCAAGACTCTTTGAATTTACGTTTTAAATTTTTTAATTTATGATCCTCCAAAATTTTCACTTCTTTTTCCCCCACTCAGAGAAAAAGTGAAAAATTCAAAAAAATATAATTGATCTCATAAGTTAATATATCAAATAACAAACGTACGTAATATTTATAGCAGACATCCGATATCTGAAAAAAAATGATTTCGACAAACGTTTGGAAGCCCTGCTTCGCACAACGACCAATACAATACTCGATTGTCTTAAACCACCTTGAAACCTGGTATTCTCGATTCAGTCAAAAAAATTGGGGAAAGAAAGCGTATCGAATGTGCACAATCTGCCGACGATTCTCAACGCCCGTTGAAAACGCGACATTTACCGCGACGTGCACGTGCGCCACGCACGAAGACAAAATCGTGGCGTGCTCGAGAGGTTTTTAGCGTGACGAAGCTTAAGGACAGTGAAACGTGTGCAACAAACACGCGTGCAACTCGCGTTCTTGCCCGTGCAGCCGTGTTATAGAGTAGGTCGTCGTGGCGTTAAATTTCGGCCGATGATTTGTGCGAGGAATTAGTCGCGGCGCGGGCGTGCTTCGCGCGTGCAATTGCCACGACGATGAAATATGGAACGAGCGAGCCGATTTCTTTCACGACCTATCATCCTCGTAATCGATGATGAATCTTAAGAATCGTCTTTTGCTTGCTTTTCTTTTTTTTTTTTTAAATTAAACTTGAATATTTGTTTCTCCACCCCCATTTAAAAATTTTCCTAATATCGAGAGAATGAATGAATAAGTGAATTGGTATCGATACTTTTTTTTTTTTTTTTTTTTTGGATATAATTTAATTATTCGTCTTTAAATTGGATGTTGCAATGGTCGAGACAAATAATGCGATTTATATAAAGGACGCGGGAGATACTTAGCGAATTCTTTTCGGAATTGAGACATTTATTAAATCGGCCTGTTCCGTCAAAAGAAGCGCAAGTCGTTTCGCTCCCCTTAATGAGCGTACGTGATGAGCATATCGATAATTATCGATGCACCGCGCACAATATTCAGATACATTAATCGTTTTTACGTCTGAGTTAAGTGTCGGGGTAAAATTTACCTTTCTATCTTAGTAACGCGCGATATAAGATTAATAAACTCTTCAATGAACTGCTATTAAAATAGATTTTTAAAATATGAAATTATTTTCATATTCATAGAACAAGAAGATATTTTTAATTATAATTAAACGAATATATCTATCTAATTGATCGAATATTGTTAATCTTTTCTACGATTAAACGAGGCATTAAAAACAGAAAATAGTTGCATCGAAAATTAACAGCAAGAAATTTATACTGACCAACATCGTGCCTCTTTTCTTCGACTATTCAATTAAAGTAAGCAATAAAACATCTATTATTTACTACATCTTCTTGTACAGTGATACTTGTTAAGATGCATTCCACGATGAAAATATATAAAATTCATCGATTGAATTAAATCAATCAAGAAAGACAGAGACAGAGACAGAGACAGAGACAGAGACAGACAGAGAGAGAGAGAGAGAGAGAGAGAGAGACACGTCGAAGACCACTTTCACACACAACTATCTTAAAATATTAACCTATAATTCTCTTCTCACATTCTATAACATATACACAATTTCAACACGATAAATTAAACGCGTACAAACAAATAACAAATTTCATTTTTTACATTTAAAAGTGTTACAAAAATTAATTAGAAACGTACCACTCCTTCGATAGATACAGCGATCCAATTCGAAAATGAATAAGTATCAATTTCATCGATGAAAGCGTAAGATATCTTATCCCCGATAAATCGCATCGAAGGAGAATATCCGCGAGAGGTAGACAATTACGAAGACAGGAACGCGATATCTACGGGCAAAAGCAATTAATAGGATGCTCATTACGTGACGCGTCTGCGCGAAATTGCCCCACGAACCGATAATCATTCTAAAATATCGAGTATCGCCCACTTTTGGTAATGGAGGTCTTAAATGCTTGGATAAAATTGATGCGAACCCTCGTGAAAATCATTTACCATTTTTGCGAAATGGAATATGCATCGATATATCTATATCGCCGTCCTTGTAAAAAGTGAAAGAAAGAGGAACAGGAAACAATTGTAATACTTCCTCATTTTTTAAATTTATTGCATTATTAATTAATTGCGCCGTTTCTGTGCAATATTTTGCGTGATATTAAAATTATTCATCGTGTTAACATCGTGAAATATTTTACATGGATTTTTGTTGACGATCATAGCACGAAGTGAAATTATTAGTAAGTTTGGTATTTTTTATATGAGGAATTTAGTTTTAATTTAAAAAAACATATTAATTATTTCAATAAATTTTCTACATATTACATAACGACCTAATTTTATTTTATGTTTCAAAAAGTACTATGTATTATTATAATATAATAATTGACTCTTGTCAATTTTTATCTTCTTTCAAAAGAACAAAACTCTTATTTAAAAAATATATAAGTAATAATCATATTGATTACTTTGTTAAATACACCTTGTGAATCTATCTAAATTTCCTTTAACAAAAATATTTATTCTTACCTACATATAATTGCAAAGGATCAAAGGATTTGATTTCAGTTCGAAAATATTTTTATCACGCATAAAATTATTGTTAAAAGGAATATACACGAAGAAGGAACATAAGTTCGCGACACAAGTTCGCCCACATCGCCTACCCACCTTTTATATTCTTGATTTCTATTGCCAGAAAAGGCCTAAGCGTGGGTGTACGAAATTTTTGCCCGTTGTTACTAGGTCGCGAATAAAAAGGCGAAATCAATTTCACGTAAGGATAAACTCGACGACGTTGTCGTAACACGTGCGAAACAATAGAGCGTGTGTTTCAGTTATCGTAAGTGGATTAAATTCGTAGAATAATTTTAATGTACATATTGACCACGATTTTATTTTGATTCTCGTATTATACTTTATAAGATAACTCTTATTGCGATTATTTATGCTTTCAAATTTTAAAATATAAAGTAAATAATATGATTAGATGAACTATTTTCCCTAAATAAATTCACGCTTGTATGATTAGTTCTTCATCTTTAAAGTAGATCGAGAATGTAATAGACATTGAACGAAGAATTCTAAATACCCATAATATTTAAAACAGATATATATATATATATATCTCCTCAAACTAATTATCAAATATTTTAAAAAATAAATAATATATAAGTAAAATAATAAAATTTCTGATAAAATTCTCTACATTTCTTTTATTTCAGGGCACGATTTTTTATTTCTCTAAGCTTTGAGTTTGAAAAAAATTTTTCTGCAATAAATTTTCTTCAAACTTCATCAAAGCTTAGAGAAATAAAAAGTCGTGCCCTGAAATAAAAGAAACTTATCAGAAATTTGATCAATTTCTTTCGAAATCTCTCGTGTAAAAAATAATTAAAATAGCGAAGAATATTATATCGAGACTCACCAAAACATCTTGCAACAGTTCGTGCTCGTCAAGAAGTATCACTTTGCAGTGAAGAAGACGGGGCCTACGGCTTCCGGCCGGCCTAAGTCCAGGACAGAGCCACTCCACCACCATCTCTTCCTTCGGCAGACCCCTCGTTTCCCTTGTGATTCCTTCCTGGCTTTTACTCGTTCATCCGCTCATCGGTTTTGGTCATCCTGAAAGACGAGGACAACGCTGTAATCCGAATCCAAAACTGTCGTACATAAAAAACTCGTACGTACATAGCGATGCAGGCGAACACGATCTATTCTCGATGCTATCGAGGGACAAAAAAGCGGGATGTTTAATCCTTACACGCTTAAAGAATTTTTATTATTAATTTTTCTCTTCACATTTGAGAAGAGAATATGTTCTTTAATAATTGAATTTTTTAAATGATAAATAGAAATATTCAGGATAATTAATTATAATCTCGCTATTACGTCTTCAGCGTAAATAAATCACGAATATATTTTTCTACGTATCATATTTCTCTATCATAAATCTCATCAACTTGACTTTGTTAAAAATTTCTATAATACTTCTTCAATATATATTATATATATTATATTCTATTATATTCTATTATATAATATTATAATCTATAATATATATAAAATTCTATTATATATATATTATATATATTAAAATATTCCTCTAGAAAAAAATAAAAAAAAAAAAGAATTAATAAACGAAACAAACTATGGTTGTTGATCCACAATCGCGCGAACGAGCTCGCTTCGATCGAGTGAATAGTGAATAGATGAAACCTGAAAAAAATCGTTTCGACTTCTTCGAACGAGAGTTCAATAGAGGTTGAACGAAACCAATTAAAATTGTCCCGTACAATGAGTGAATAAATGGGCGAATTAACTAATTCCTTTGAACCTAAGGGGATTAGGCGTCCACCGCGGCAATGGAATAATGAAACGCTAACGAATCGCAAAAGCGACAACGATTCGTGCGACTGGTCGAAAAGAAAACTTGCTCGTTAATCAGTCAGCAGGAGAATATTGGCCCGATCTGATCGTTAATCAGACGGATATCTATCTCCACGAGATCTTTGAACGGGGCACGTTTGTGCGACTAATAGAGTCGACTCCACGCGAAGCAACGGGAACAAAACGAGAGAAAAGAAGGAACGAGGTGGCGTGGAATGGAGAAAGGAGGACACGGAACGAAGGTGGAATTATCTACATCTCTGTCCCGACTGTCGTCGAGGAAGACGCGTGTATAAGAGCGGAACGATCGGGTTTGGTGCAATTGATTTCGTGATTTATGACATCCAGGCAAGCGAGAAAGATTGACAGTCGCCAGAAGAGTTGCGTTTTAATCGATTTCACGTCCGATCGAATTTTTCGCTCCGAGTTTCGAGACCTTCTTGCTATTATTTGTTTCTTTCTTTCTCAAACAAAGAGACCAATGAGAAAATTAGAATATCTTTTAGAGACAATCAGAAAACGAGAAATTGAATTTGATCGTCTCGTCATCGATATACGAGTCATTTGAGGAATTACAATTGAAGTATTCCACGAATTTTTCAATATTCTCTTATCAGACTGTTCTTAGCTCGAATCGAATAAAATAACATTCACTTTGCCCGATTAAAAATGCATTTAATGAAGAAAGTTGAGACTTATTCTGTCTCAAAAAGAACGTGCCTCGAAAAACAATTAACTCGACGAATCTCAGGGAAATTCCACGCAGAAATGACAGCCGAGCACACGAAAAGTGAACGAGGTTGGCTCTCGAAGGTGGAGAACTGCTTCCATCCCATTAAGATACGAGCGTGCGCTCGTGCTAAGCACGATAAATTATCTACAATGCAAATTTCTACGGTGCACAAATCCCGAAACGGTCCGCTTCATCGACGCCCGTTCGTTTTAAGCGTATCGAGTTAATTTATGCACGCCCCTTTCCCGCGCGTAATTGCCACGCTATGACCATTATTTACATAACAAGTTTAAGCAACAAACACCGTGGCGACGCGGATGTAAAATCCTTAGGGCCCTCGCATTTTAATTTCCTGGTTCCAAATGGTTGCCGACCCGAATGGGCTAAAAACATGAACTGTGAAACATCGAGAACATCGACTATTGAAATTTGAACCGCGTGTAAGAATCTTGGGACAAGCTCTGTCTTGTCTTGTAGCTGAGAAGAAAAGCCAACGAGATGGAATGATACGAGTATCGCGAATAAATCGAGCGAAACAACTTGGAGAGAAAGAGAGAGGAAGAAATTGGAGAGAGGAAGAAATTGAAAAAAGGAAAATGAAAGTTTTGCTCCGTATTAGATTTAATCCTCTGAAGAATTTCATTTAGAAATGTTCACGAAAGATGATATCGAATACTAATTTAAATGATACAATATTACGATGTTACGTGTAGGAATGATATATGATACTAGGGGATTTATTAACGTATAATCGTTTGATAAAGAAAGATGATGAATCTGTGGATAATAATGTAACTTGTGGCAATTCTAATGATCTGAAAATAATGTAAAATGCATAATATAAACCGTTTAGAAACTAATTATAAGTACAACGTACTCGCACAACCGGATACTCGTGTGAATAAATGGACGTTTGTCTCCGTATGGGGTCATATAAATGGAGTTCTACTGTAATTGCTTGGAAGGTAATGTAAAGATGCAAAGATACGATTATGGTACAATGCATAGCCTGTAGTGAAGCGGCAATAAACCTCTTACAACAAATTTCTTATAATGTAGATATTTAGCACGAGAGTATGCGAATAAGTCTTCCAAAATGACCTATCTATCTAAGAATAAATTTTCATTCTTCGCTTGGGTGGAAAAATCATTCTTTCGAGATCTTTTTTTAAAAATTCTCGTGTATGCTCAAATAGAGTTTAAGAGCTTGAACGTTCGTAATTTGAAAATAAAATTCGAGATTTTTTATTTTTCATCGGAGGCCGTTAAGCAACTATTGTCTCACGGAGTAATAATTATTGTTTTACTCTCGATTTGACGCGCGTCTTAAAAACACGTACACACGCGCAATCGTACAAACTACAATTCGCTCTTACAAAACAAAAGGCGATGCATTGAATTAAAAGATGATTTTATCGAGTTTGAACAGCATTGTGTGCTGATCAAGCAGACGGTCACAAATTTATTTTCAACACCTCGAGTCGCCGTGCACGTTTCCTGATGGCGTCTGAAAAATCGTAAACAGCTCGGTATCCACAGCTCGGCTACCCGTCTGTACCGTTAGCTCATAGTTCCGACGTAACATCTCGAATACGATTGCCTGCCTCTATTCGACGCGCGCTCGGCAACGCACGTGTATGTACGCGCAAATATTATACGAGCGGCTACCACTTAAAATACCTTCGATTATATTCGAGATATACCTGTTGGCACGCATCTCTATACTTTGGCCAGGCCGCGAAAAATCTGTAATGATATAATAGTAATTTTTATATCTTCGAGTTTTAACTAATTAGAACTAACAAGCTCGATACAAAAAGAATACGATACGAGATTTCTAATGGTCAAGAATGTATGATAATACGAATAAATAAATGAAGAGACGAAAACTTTTTTATCCCTTTTTTTTTTGGAGCAAAAACAAAAGCAAGTGGATTTCCTTTCTTATTTTACCAACCTCCTACATATTCTCGAAATTTTGCCACTTCAATCGAAGATGAACTTTGTTACTATTCTATTATATATAAATACAAAGTTTCGATCAATTAATAATTTCTCTGGCCATATTTATAGATCGATCTTGTATTTTAAAACTAACTAATTCCAAAGATATATAATACATTTTCGCTGGCCGGAACTTTCGAACGAATCATTTTTCAACGAAACTCCCTTAACCCCGTTTCAAATCGAAACGCCTACGTTCCCCGCGACACAATACACCCTTCACGGAATCCATTTACCAACACATGGAAAGGAGGCACACCATTATTGCAATTCAAGCAGAACATATCCAGGATACGGTACCTCATTGTCTCGGGCTATTTATATCCACGTCGCTATTAGTGTAGGTCAGGGTGATGCACGACCGAACGAGCCGATTAAAAAGCGAAGGTAGCCAACTGCGTACACCTCGAAAAGGATCCAAGGGTGTACTGATAAATGTACCAGCGCGCGGGCGAGAGTAAATCATCGAAGAACTTCTTTACCCGGTCGGCCGCCACGTCGGTGCAATTTAAATATTTAAACTCATTAAGTCCGGCGCAAAATTACTCCGCGAGCCTCCTCCAGCTGTTTCACGATCCATCCCGATTTATGCGTTTCAATCGTGGCCATTTGCAATTGAATATTTCTCTTTCCTTCGTTTCAAAATGTTTGTCGAGGAAGAGATGTTTGAAACGATGATTTTAACCGATATGAATTGTTCCGACAATTCGCGTTAGATTAGAATTGAAGAATTCTTTTAACTTCGACTATTCTTAAAGAATGGAGTAAATCAAACGATAAGTTAAATCATCTTATTTAAATGAGAAACCAACCTATCACGAAAAACTATGATTTGGTGATTACACGAAAATTGTGTAAAATATAAAAATCGTCGAAATAATCGTAAAACACATCTATTCGATCAATTCGTGATCTATATAGATCATTTGAGCCAATCTCTTAAATATCTTCTTTCGAGAAAACTGCCACAATTCTTCCAATATTTAGACGTCATTAATATAAACTCCCTCGATATATCACGTCACAAGGAAAAAGCTTCGCGTCTTCCCCATTAATTACGCGCATAATCCGATTTAAAAGGGGAGGGGGAAAAAGTGGTCCATCTCTTTCATAATTAGCTCCGGTACACGCGGAGTAGTCGCGGATCGAATCGAAAAACGACCGTTTCGTTGCCAGTAGGAGGGCCATTCTTCTCTCCATTCCCCAACCCCTGCCTCCCCCTCCCCCTCTCAATTCCAAACTGAAAACAAAAATCGCGCGCAAACGTTGGCCGGTGAAGCGTGCAATATATCAAGCCTTGAAAAGAATGTCTCTACGCTCGACGAATCGCTAAGAAAATTAATGGCTCGTGCTTTGCATTCTCTAGAGAAGTTTTAAATGCCGGTATATATCCTTTCTCATCTCCAAGAGAGTATATAACCTTCCTAAGGTTCTGGAGCCGAGCTAACACGCGGACTCTACTCCTGGGTTCGGCCGCCGCCGAACACCCATCCTTGCCTCGCGTCCTTCTTCTAGCGTGGCTCGCGCCATCGTCTACGATCGTCGCGCGGTTTTGTGAACGTGTTCACGTATTATTCATTAGCTGACGCTGTTCACCGCTGTCACACCGCCTGATGAATTATTTTATTCGTTCGTACACGCAGCGCGTACAACACGCCATTCGATGTCGAATCCTAATCGAACACGGCTGGAGATTTGCTGCGGTTTCACGTTCAACGGCGATAAGTTATTGTGTTTGAACGATTGGATTTTTGCGAAACGTATATACCGTGGGATTGGCGGGATTTCGAACGGATATTGAGAAATTTTATTGTCGGGGAATTGTTGATTGAATTTTAATCGCGCGCGTTTCAAAAGAGTTCGTTTCAGAGTGACGATTTTAAATCTTTTGGTTAAAATTTGGTCTTGGGATTGGGAGTGGAAGAGACAAAATTTTGTGTGGAGATATGTATATATATATTTATATATACATATGTACATAAGAAATAATAATAATTATTGAGTAACTTATTAATTATTGAGTATGGATAATTCATTTATGAAAAGTAATTTTGAAATGGAATATTATAAGATCTTGTTCTGTCCCTATATGCAATTCTTAGAAATATCTTCTATCATTTTAACGAATGAAATTAATCGATTAATTAAACCAATGAATCGATTCAAGTGACTACAATTAAGTATTAAAATCGAACGAATCAATGAACTGATCTAACCTAACCTAATATGAAGATCATCGATTAAATTAAACAAGACAAAAACTATTTAACGTTAATATTATTCTTTTGTCTACTTGGATCAAAATATTAATTAGATTTCAATTTTGAAGGAAATGATCTTTTACAATTCATCGAAAGAATAATCTGATTTGTAATAAGTTCTATTATAAAACTGAATTAATATAATGAAAATAAACAATTACGTTTCTGTCTAATAAAATACAATACAATAGGAATATCCTAACTAATTAATTCGTTAGAATAGAAAATCTCCTTTGTTATCCGAATACAATAATTTCTCTTCACGATAATTCAATAAGATAAATTTAACGAGAAATAAAATACAAATTTTACTCGTGCCACGAATTTGATTTATTACACTCGAATTCATCCGCAAGATAATTTTCCACTGTATTAATTTCATCAGAGAGAGAGAAAAAAGAGGAAATCAAGTTTTCAGCAATCGTGGAAAAAATCCATCATGTTAACAAGAATCTGATAATTCTAATATCAAACCAACATTCCCGATAGCTTGTCCATTTCCATCCTTATATAATAAATCTCTCGCGTATGATTAAGAAATCGGTACGAACCGTAACGAACTATTAAAATTCCTTCTTAAGAGGCAACGTATTAATTCAGATATTATCACCCGATACCCGACCCTAATCAATCAGCCATCACCGCTGTTGACACCTCGTTATCCTGATCATCTACTACCAGTACTTACTTTCCTCTCCAACGAAACACGCCTACGCTCCGAAACGTGACTATCCACACACCAACCCTACCACCACCATTCCTCGATATATAAACCTTCCTTTTTCTCTTTTTTCTTTCTTTCTTTTTTTCTTTTTTTTACGCAATAATCACACGGAAATCAGGATCACGTGGTCGGCTATCGTATTTTCCCGGTGGTAAGCAAACGGTGATTGTTTCCCGTTTCACGTATGCAGGGACGGGGACTTTCGATAAGACGTCCATGGTGGACGACAAGTCGGCTACGTGAGAAGGTCAAGAGACCAAGGTGCCACCTTTTGTGTCCTCGTGTCGCGTTGAAAAATGGTCGTTCGAATGTGCCGAACTGTGGCGGGTGCCGTTGAACCCTCGCGAGAGGCGGCCGCGCGGTGCGTTGCATCGGAGAGAAACAGGTTTCGTATCCAGAATCCCTGAATCAGAGCCAGGGATAATAGAAACCGACGGGGCTTAGCAAATTAGCCATACGGTTGGCCCTTGTTGAGGAATTAATCGGAACAAGCCTGCCTTGCTCGATTAACGCGTCTGTTTGCTATTCGACCGTGACACGATACCCTTCGAGAAAAAGAAAGAAAAAGAAGAGAAATGAGAAGGACAGATAACAGAGAAGATTTATTCGAGCCGATCCGTTCTTCGATACGCGAAATAAACGGCAACCGTTCCGTCAACCGACGTCACACGATTATTACTTTTGTGCCCGATCGTTACGACCAAGTCGTTAAACGAAAACAAGCTTCTCCGAAGAAGCTGATACAGTTAACCGATACGAAACTGCAATTTCGTGTGTAAATATCTGTGCCTCGTTGCCCTCCATTCCCCTCTTAGCTCTCCTTTTTTTATATTTTCTGAATTTCATTTATTCCGCAATTTTATTTATTCCGAAGGTTTATGCGATTCGTAATGGAGATCCCTCGAATGATCGACGAATAACGGTCGTTAAACAACAGGGGAATAAAAATGGAAACGTTCGAGTTTAACGAGAACAACAAGGATCGTGCGTGTCGTCTAATTAGTCCCGACGAGAGTTTCGCGCGGCAAAACGAACGAATGGACGAAAGTCGTTGCTTGACTTGTTGTTCGAGACGCGTTTCCGGTTTAATCGCATCCCCTACGTGGACGGAAGAGGATTCTGTTGGCTTACTTATTTTATCCGCCTGCAACTATCCGGGAAAATAAGCGCGGCCGTAACACAGCCCCATAATTGGTGCTTACGGTTAATAGCCTATTGTCTACCGTGGAGAAGCGGGAAAAATGTTTCATTTATCCGAGACGTTTTCAGAAGTCGGATCGGAAGGAACGCGAGCGTCGACGATACGTTTCGGAATACAATACAAAGTGCGCTCTCGTCCCACATTAAGCATTCGTCGATCGGCTTTAAGGAGGCATTAAATTATACCGACGATAAATATTTCCCGTGGCCGGCCCTCTATCGCTCTCCTCGATAAGACAAAGGGAAGGTATACACCGTGACGGAGGGAATACTATTACATTCAATAAAAACGATCTTCGATTTTCCTCCTCGATTATAAACAAACTGCAAAATACCGCGCGGTGAATGGAATCAAATTGAAACGAACAAAAGATCCGTTTAAATACCTCGATGCTTTATATTCGACGCTGAACGTTGAAAAAACAAAAGCGTTTCATCGTGGATAATAACAAACAATCGAAACGAATCGAATAAAAAAAACAAGATCGAGGATAACGTTGAATAAGAGAAGACGAGAGAGAGAGAGAGAGAGAGAGAGAAAAAGTTCAATGGTACGCACCTTGACCGCGAAAACTCAGATCCCAGATCGAAGGCACGCTGTCGCCGCGTTGATCGATGCAGCACGTCTCGTTGGAAGGGTCATCACACTTCCGGTGTGTTCGGGGATCCACCTGAGAGGATCCACAAAAATTATCCCCACGAAACGCGCGCGCACGAGTCACGACGCGTATAAATTTTCAATCTCGAGTTATAAATATATACGAAAAACCGAGAAGAGGAAAAAACACGTAGGAGCGTGAAACTGAACAAAAAAACTGTGTACCAGCGATGGAATACGATGAAATGGTGCGTCGTCGTTGCTCACTGGACGCGCGTGAACCGATCGACACGGTGCTGGTGCGTGCACTGTGACATGTCAGGTGGTGATTTTCGTCTGTCGGGCCGAACTCGACGGGAACTGGTCGCGACTTGAACTGACCGCGCAGCGAGAACCGACGCGGAGGAAGGAAGTCGGGATCGGTGATCGATGACACCGGTATGGATTAGAGCACGGCGTGCGTGTGTATGGTGGCGTGTGTCAGGAAAGGAAGAAGAGCGGATCCAAGCGAGCGGAGAGAGCGAGCGAGGAACGGCGGGGATCAGGGCAGTGGCTTGGCTCGGATCAGACTGAGCCGAGTCAACCGAAGGATTCAGATGTGCCTTTACCTTGCGCGCCTTCCTTTCCTTTCCTTTACCTTTCCTTCGCCACGCGTTTCATCTCGCTCGCGCGCGCGGACGTCTCGTGCTGTTCACTCTGTTAATCGTGATAGCGTGGACAGTGACGTAGGCTCCGCCACTCGGGACTCTTCCCTCGACCGTTTCCCCTCGGCTCCTCCTTCGTAACCCAACGAAATTGCGGCTCGTCACGCGACCACCGAAACCTTTTCAACGCCGATTGTTGCTTGGTTAAGCTGTTGCGATTATACCGGTCGATCCCGGTGGCGGCCTCGGATCGATGGTACAAATTTTCGTGGGGACCTGTTGCCGGAATCGAATGATAATTGGCCAGGTCGGTGGGGAGAGAATAGTTAATGCGATATTTATTGGCAAGAGATATTCGAACGATTAACCGTATAATTTTTAAATTTTCATCACTCGTGGATGATCAATTTCATTCGCATTTGTTGTCACGAATTCTTTGTACGATTATGCTTCATTTTCGATCAAATTTTAATTCAAAATCACGTGCGTTTGATGTAGAGAATTTTTTGTGAATAATTCAAAGATTATAAATAAATTAAGAATCTTTCAAAATCAAATCGCAAAATATTAATAATATAATCTCTTATATGATCGAAATATACCAGATTAATAATAAAAATAAAAAAGAAAGCTCGTATAAATAAAAAATTTATATATAGTTAAAATATATAAAAGTTATCTTTTTTAAGTCTTCTATTTAATAAAAATAAGATATTCTATTAATAAAAAGAATTATAACTATAATTTTTGAAATATAACTAAAAATACAATTGAAACCTTTCGTGCCCATACATTTACAGAGAAAGGATACGGCACTGCGTGTAAGCACAGCATAGCGAAGAGCGTCTGTCCCTCTCCCAACCGCTACTCACCTTCCTCTGTTGAGGACCTCGGCCTCGTGCCCACCATTCTTCCTAATACTTTGGTACACGACACAGAGAAAGAAGCCATATAAAAAGGTGCTGCTTCATAATGCCCATGCAATCAAGTTGACTTCCTAAAAATAAAAGAAAACGTGCGATACGAATTAAAAGCAAACAAAAAAAAAAAAAAAAAAAAAGGAGGGAAAGAGAAGTAAAACAGAAAAGGCTCCCTTTAAATCGTTCAACATTGAACCACTTTTCTGAATGATATATTACCGTTATTACCGTATTATCTCGTTTCAAAAGGTTTTTTTATACTCGAATCGCGAAAGTGGATAGAAAAATCCAAGAATTTATTTGCTATGAAACAGAAAAGTAAATTGACGCGAGAGCGTCCTATTTAAAACAGGTGTTACAAGTGCATGTTTCGCCCAACAACCGTGGCGCTTTCAAACGATACTAGTGTTTCTTCGTAAATGTTTATTATGAATTTCGAATACTAATGATATTTATTAGAATTACGTATTTATTTATAATGAATGGTTTTATTTTTCAATTTCATATTCAATCACTACATTGAAATCTTTTATGCAACAACTGTTTTATTATATTTTATGAAAAAATATCAGATTAAAAGACATCAGTATCTTTCTATTAAAGAAATTATAAAAACTATTTACTTAAAGATTATTATAAAAACTACTCGTATTGATAATAAAAAAAAAGTATCATTAAATTAATAAACAAATTTTAATGATACTAAATTTTCTATAATATTACTGTTACTGAACTTATAAGAGAACAAATATGAAAATATATTATATTAATGTTAATGTCATATATTTTATAATTTTTTTATTAAAAACTGAAAGTATCTATATATATTTTTTATATTAAAGATAGAAAACTATTGAAGTTTTGAAAGAAAAATGATGAAAATATTCATCAATATCCCATAATTCATCTATAATCATCCATTACAACAGCAAATAATGAAAGAAGGATAAAATTAATTGGAAAACTGACTATCAGTGCCATCTCTTGAATTGCAAAAACATTTACCTATCAAACCTTACCATTCAAGAGATGGCGCTGACGTTCAATTTTTGATTCACTCTACTTTATCTGCTCAGAATAACATCATTTATGTATATAATTTGTTTATAAAAAGGAAAATTAATTAATTTTTAATTTCTACATGTTTTGATATTAATTATCTTCTTTCCAGATAATTCTATTTTTCCTAATTAATCGATTAATTCTGTTTTTAAGCATATTATTTTTCTTTTAAAAATAATTCCTTGAATTATTTAAAAATAACTTATCGTTATAAAGAATATTTAATTAAAAAATGGCAAAAATACGATTAAAAACATAATATTTTATTTAATAATCAATTCATGCTTTAGAGATCTGCAATATCGACAAAATTTATAAAATTTATAAAAATTATTTATCTGAATTCTATGAAATATGATTGTTTTCGAATAAGATACAAATTATTACTGATTCATTTCACTCTTACTAAAACACTAACAATTATTCATAGCATGATAATATTTTACCAACAAAAGATAAATGAAATCAGTATCAAATTTTAAATCGATTATAATGAATCGCGAATATCCATAAACTGATTGATCTATACCGTATTTATATCTAATCAAACTTTTATAAACTTACGTTTTTTTAATAGAATAATGCCATTATCACATTTTCTATTCCATTTCTATCCTTCTTACATTATTTGCTCTATTTGTCTATATTTGCTGAATGATTATAATTTTATTCTTAAACGATATATCATAAGTTTCAAAAATCAAAATGAAAAAGTACAAATAACGTAATAAATCCTAAAAAAATCCTATTCTAATCTAAATCGCGTGCGCAGCCAATTAGCTCATAATATTTTCTATAAAATTTATAATCGTATCCGTGATACAATTATGAATCATATAGCAAATAATAATGATTTTCCAGGTCTCACCGCGTGGAGGTTGCTGCGAATTGGAGACCCACCCTATCCACGGTCCCATCCATCCTCCTTCGCGGAAAAAATTATTAGAAATCAATCATAAACCTTCCTTTTGATGTAGCTTTGCAAAACGTTCGATCTTTGATCGTTGTGCAAAACAAACAGCAAAAAGAATTCTAAGAAAATCGACGCGACAAGCTAAACCTGCAAATAAAAATAAAATTGTATCGTACATAACTCTACACGAGACACATTATTTGTGTTATGTATATCAACAATATTTTATTCATAATATAAAAAATTCATATTCATATAAATATAAAAATATAATTACGAAATAAAATACAAAAAAATGAAATGTAATTCACACAGAGTTATTACATAAACATCACCATTTTAATATCAATACTACAATTTATTAAGCATACACATACACATATATTCTACTTTAAGCAATTTTTACAGCAGCAATTCTACAAGCCATCTACTAATATTCCACTTATATATATTAAATTTACAAGATTTCACTTAAATTTAACTTAAAAACTAAACTTAAAAATATCCTAATTATAAATATAATTTAATATGATCCTTAATGAACGTCAAAATAGTTTCATCTAAATCTAAAAATCTTTGTAATCCTTACTTACTAAACTACGTTACAAATATATTCTTTCCCTGCCTACAAAAAAACAATAATTTCATAAAATAAAAATAACTAAAAGAGAAAAAATCTCAACAAAGGAAGGAGGAGGCAGAAGAAGATTATATGAAATACAAGTATCCTTTATTGATTCTGCATTGATTCCACACTAATCTCTGAAACAAATTAAACTACAAATAATTAATAAAGTTCCGTAAGATGTAAGTACTCATTAATTAATGATACAGTTAGGTATACTTTATAGTATACTTATTTGAAATAAATAATGCTTCCGAGAGATAATAAACCTGAAACAAATTTATTCATACATTATTCATTATTCATACATTATTCATACATTAGTATAAAAAAATATATAAAAATATTAAAAAGAATATTTAAAAAAAAAAATGAATCTAATATAATGAACA